CGCGCACTTGGGCGCCAACCGCCCTCTCACCTGGTTCTTGACGCCCTGGACCCTTCGTTCTACGATCTCCTCGAACGGTCGCCCCTCTATCGCATTGCGCCGGTCCAGTGGTTGCTATGCCGGTCACCGTCAGGGAGTCTCGGCCCGGAGCCGTCCACGCCTGCCCAAATCGGTCTACCTCCTCCTCCACTTCGGCAAAAGAAGCCTGTTCGCGGCAAAGCGGAAAACTCCGCAACGGGCCACCCCCCATCAAGTCGTCTAAGAAGCCTGCAGAGCAGTGACAAGCCAGACAAGCCAACATCTTCGCTCGTTCCTTCGGCCGAGTACAAGGCGCTAGTCGACTTGAACCTCGACGCCCCTGACTCTGTTAAGGCGGCCGTCTACTTCATCTTGGCAAAGGCGGAAGCGGCCGGAAAGAAGCCTTGGTGTCTCGCTTATCCTTGGACGGGGCGACCGCAGTGGTACAACCCGCTTCGTTTCCGCGCGATCTACCGGGGTCACTGGCGCTTCTGGATGTGTCACCGTCGAGCGTTTTGGGAATGGGCCTTGTACGCGTCCTTGGCGTCGGAGACGGCGCAGAATAAGGAACGGAACGAGGTATGGGAACGAATCCGAATGAGAGGCTACTTCTTGGTGGTCTTCCCCTTGTCGGCCGAAACCTTCTTGGGAACGACCTTCTCACCGTCTTCCCCGTCGTCGGCCTCAACCTTATCCTCCTCGTCGTCGTCTTCGTCGTCTTCCCCTGGTTTGTACTCGTCTTCGTCGTCGTCTTTGTCGTCGTTCCAAGCTTCTTCGTCATCGTCCTCTCCATCGTCAGCGTCGTCATCGGCACTAGGGGAGTCAGCAGTAGCAGCGGTCACGACCGTGGAAGTTGGAACGGCAGCTTTGGCCTCGTCTTCGTCGTCCTCTTCGAGATCGGACCAGTCGGCACGTCGGCGTTCCGTCTTAGTCGGTCCCTTAACTTCGGGGAGATGGTACGAGCCACTCTCCAACTCGGTCGCGACAGTCAGCTGGGTTTGCTTCACCAGGGCGTTGTCCATAAGGGTTTTCCAAGGCTTGTCACTAGTGGACCCCACCCAGGTGTCACGTGGCGTCGCGGAGGACTGAAGA